GTCCACTGGAAGTCCTAGAGCCACCAGAGCACACCTCCATCTGGAAAGTGCTATGTTTCTTTCTCCTTACCTGGGAAACACGTTGTCAGGTGCTCCATGAGTGCTTCTTGGGTGACAGGTTTTCTCGCCGAGTTCATTGCTGAGATGGCCAAGCAAAGGATTTCCCCGAGTGGAATAAACTGAGACTGACTGATGGGAGACATACTGATTGGTGACACATCACCTGCAGAAAGACAATTTTCAAGTGAGCGGTTCATTAAAAGACCCGGTCATTTGTCACACACACACATATACACCGCTCCCACAACCACCTCCTACCCCCGTATTGTGAATACAACCAACTCTGAACACGATTCCACTCCAGTGGAAAGATGTCCACACACAGTGGAAGCTCCTGTTGCCTCGACAAATGAAACTTTCCTCTACCGCCTGAGAGCTCATTTAAATAGAGTACTGAAAGTCTTTCAACAACGAGGCTTTGAAAAATGATTTCTGTTTTTATGAACTTGGAGCTGATTTATTAAATAACTGCCATTCACATCTCAACAAATGCACTTGTGGTAAGTTGATGATTCATTCATTCAAACATGGAGTGCCTTTACGTGTCAGGCATCTGCTGGGGGCCTGGGGGCCACAGACAGAGAGTGAGTACGCTGCTCTCTCCTGCAAACATCTCTGCCCTTGAAGAGTTTCTATTTAAGTGGAGGAGACAGACAAGCAGGTCAAAGGTCACAGTGATGTGTGACAGGCACCCAAGAGAAGACTGAACAACACGCTGGGGCAGGGAAAGGTGGGATAACACCACCTGGGGGTGAGTGGGGGCTGAGAATAGGACGTTGTAAGGTTTCACCAAGGAGGTGCGATCTGAATCCAGCACTAGGGGGCAGGAGTGTGCAGGGTGGTTGGGGACAGGGGCAAGACCAGTAAGCAGGTGTTTTCTGGGGCAAAGCAGAGAAAGAGACAAGTATGTAGGGACAACACGAGGAAGAAGATGAGTGCCCAAGCCCTTCATGCTATGAGGACGGTGAGCCCTGGGAGAAATTTAAGTAAGGTGGCCGTGGGGATGACGGCCTGGGAGGGGCAGAAGGCAGCAGATCATTCCGAGACTCCTGAGCACCTCTGCACACTAAAAGGACCAATGAAGGCAGGGGAGGCTGAAGACCCAGCCTCGAAGGTGAGGGATGGTGACTCCTGAGGAGGTGTCGACCTGCAATGCAAACATCCCTCTTCATTTCTGCAACCTTACACCACAGTGCGGGGATTTTCAAGTTACGCTCCGAGGACCCTTAGAATTTCCTCGGGGATTTCTGGGGCGGGGCTGCCTCCGCAGACGGAGAGGCTGGGAGAGTGGGAAAGTCAGCTCCTGACGCCTGAGTGCCACCCGTTTTATGCTTTGGGATTCTGTAGATTTCACTTGAAAGGAGGTCCTACAGAAAGAGGGTACAAACTCTCAACAGAGTAGAATGAGTATCTGGGAGCGTCTATTCTTTCCCTCGGGGCCTACACCATCTCTCCTTTTTTGTTTCTTAAACATGCTTTCTCTCTTGTAATCAGCTACCATGGCTGGCCAGAACCACAGCTCAGGCCTGTGGCATTAAGCATTAAGCTACACCCTCCCCAGGAGATGCCTGGCTGCTCTGGGGTAGACCAGCCTCCTCACTGCCGGGACACCTGGAGCTGTGTCCAGCCCCCATCCCTAGTTTGCAGGAGGGGTGCAGAGGCCCTCTGGGAAAGGACTTGAACCCCGCTTTGATGGACGGGATGGGAAGTGGTTTGGTGGATGGGAATGAAGACCACCATGCGCGGGGTTAAGTCCAGCAGGACGAAGCAGCGGGAATTCAGCGTGCAAGGTTGAAGCCTGAATCCCTCCCCAAGCCCAGCTCAGTCCAGTGCTCCCCTTCCCCTTGGATCACGTGGGCTCCAACCAGCTCTGCCGTGGCTCCACTCTCTTCAAGATGGATGTGACAGGAGGAAGGCATTGTCTCAAGGCCTGTGGGAGGGGGCAGAACCCAAATCCAGAAAGGGAGGGCAGAGGAGGTAAAATTCAGCAGAAGCCAGGAACTGACCTAATGTAGAATCCAGAAACCTCTCGGGCCTCTGGGACATGAGTATCCTAACAAGAAGCCCTCTGAGGAATCCCTACATCGGCAGGGGCGTAGCAGGTGGAGGCTAGTGCATGGAATGTGGGGCCACTATTGAGGATGTGAGTGTCACTCTTTGGCAGGTGAAGTTCAATTCACATTGGTGACTCAAAAAAGACAGAATTGGGGCCAGATGTGGTAGCTCACACCTGTAATGCCAGCACTTTGGGAGGCCGAAGCAGGAAGATTGCTTGAGGACGGGAGTTCAAGACCAGCCTGGGCAACACAGTGAGACACTATCTCTACAAAAATATTAGCCAGGTGTGGTGGTGCACATCTGTAGTCCCAGCTACTTGGGAGACTGAGGTGGGAGGATCGCCAGAGCCCAGGAGTTCAAGGCTGCAGAGCTATGATTGCACCACTGCACTCCAGCCTGGGTGACAGAGTGAGACATCTCTAAAATAATAATAATAATAATAATAATAAAATGACAGAATTTTATGTGAGTTGAGGCCATCTCAGTGGGCAAGTTTGCAACTGCCTAGAACAGTATATTTAAATCTTAAACAAAAAAACCTGTCTTACCCTTTATTCAAACAAAATCTCATTCTAAAACCTAATGTGTAAAAACAGACTAGTGCTGGGGGTGAGCTGCAGCAGGGGTGGGAGTTGGGAGCTTCCCCTGACCAGCTCTGCCCTCCCCATGGCGGGCCTTACAGCTCAGTCACAGACCCCCTTAGACTCCCCTGTGGTCCTTCTCACTCCGCCGCGGCAGTGCTTGGAGGCCGGCTGTCTGGCTGAGTTGCTGGGTTGGCCACACGGACCTCAGAGTTACTTGGAATGATTTGAAAAGTCAGATGAGAAGGAAGATGGGGTCAGTTGGTAACAGGGCGAGGACCAAAGCAGACTCCAGTATCTTTTGACTTGTGTATCATTTGGGAGGTTAACACCTTCTAAAATTTGCCTATCATAACTAAGAATGTCTCAGAAGAAGAAAGATACAAAAATATTAAATACAGTCCAAAAAGTGCAGTAGGACTATTCCTTGATTTTCGTATAGGTTACAAGAGGAAACTAGAGCCCTCTGTAAAAAAAAATTAATGACTATTAGCAAAACTACCTGCTTTATTTTAGGTCATGCTTTTAGCAGAAATGATTTGTTTAGTTTCACTGCCATCTTCTCAGTTAATTTCTTTGTGTTCATTGCAGCCAAGTGTAAGAGGCAGCATGCTTTACGTGTGTCTAAGTTGCATTTGCTTTGAAAAAGCTCAGTTTCGCTGTAATAATGGATATGTGCGATAACTTTTAATGCAGGATATAGAACAAAATGGAACTTGGATGCTCTAAATAATTATTTCCACGTCATCTCGTTTTTATACTGAGCTAAGACACATTTTTGTCCACGCCCTTCCCATCCCCAAGCCCGTCAGCAATGCTGTCCACTCCCCACCCAGATGCTTCCTGGGTCTGTTCCCTCGACTCCATCTCCAGAGCTGCCCCACACACCAGCCCCTGTCCCTGGCCTCCCCTCCTGCCTCGACACTTCCTTCTCCACGGCACAGCCAGAGTCCTCTTAGGAAAACGTGAAACACGCCACTTCCCTGCATAAAATCCTACAGGGACTGCCTACTGTCCTTAGAAGGAAATCTGAACTTCGCAGGCATACAAGGGTGTGCAGGGTCCCATCCCTGGGACCACCCCCCACCAGCCCTGCCCACTCCCCACTTCTCTCCCTACTCCACACTCACAACCTCCTCTGTTCTCCGAACATGCCAGGCTCTTTCTCAACTCTGGGCCTCTGTATTCTGGGGGCCCGTAGCCTGGGATGCTCCTTGGGTGGACCTTTTTGGGACTGGCTTCTCATCCTGTAAGTCTCAATTTCCATGGCGCCTCCTCAGGGAGCCCTACCCTGATCGCCTGGTCTAATGCTGCTCCAAAGAGGGTGAGGATGGTGGCCATCCTCACCCTCTGAACGTGTGTGTGCGTGTTGGTTTACCAGGTCGCTGTCTGTCTCACCCGCTAGAATACAAGCTCCGTGACAGAAGGCAACATGAACGCCACATTCCTAGGACCTAGAACAATGCAGTGCTTACACGGGACACCCAATAAATGTTTGCTGAATGAATGAACATCCATTTACAACATTATAATCCAAGGACTCTCTCAGGGTACTTTAAAGGATTGTGATTTTTCTTCATATTTTTGCTAAATAATTGCAAAACAAACACACAAGAAAAGACCAAATATACTTAACCATGCAATTTCTAAGACTCCCCTCCTGATTAATTTTATGAACAATATCCCCCAAAACACAGCAGTTACCACAGAAAAATAATTGTATAGTACTATTATGTATCAATTAAAAATAAATAAGTTTTCAAAAGAATAATTATGTATTAAGTGAGGTTTAGAACATGCATTTAAGACTTGCATTAAAGGAATCATAGGTATCTCTCAATACAACATAAACATAATTCAGGTTTACCATAATTTTTTGTGGATCTTATATCAACCTACTTAATGAGTCAACTAGTCATTCTTAAAATATACTACTAGAAAATTCTTGCAACTACTAGACCATATTTATTTCTTCAAAGAAGAAAACAAGAGAATGCAAATACTTCTATAATACCGTTGGTCACCATTATCTATAGAAACTACCACATTCTGCATAAACTACGAACTGAAACTTACTTGTATATAATTTACTGGACATATTTTTCTACTGTCACCATTAGTCCTGAACATATTCATAAAGACAACTCATCTAAAAGCTCACTGGTACTTTGTGGGCTAACGAATTCTTTCTAAACTGCTATAATTGTCCTATTGTTCTAAAAAAGAAGGAATAAATAGGTTTTAGTTCAGCTTTATTTTCTTACAAACATCCATTTAAATTGCAGTCCTCAGGGGACATTTGTCAAATCTAGGCTAATTCAGACAAAACCAAGCACAGTGCCTTGGAGAGAAGCAGCATTCAATAAACTTAAAATGTGAAAAGACATGAAACTATTATAATTTTAAGGAACCTTTGTTGGAGCACTTCACATTTCAAACACATCGGTGACAATCTGGACGCTGCTTTCCTGTAAGGTTAGCTGACCGATATGAAGACAGAGAGCTCTTGGCGGGTGGAGGATGA